CGAGTTATAAAGAATTGGAAACCTGCATCCGGTTCAATTCAAAATAAACAGCAAAAGCTTGAAAAGGATAAATCTGGCTGTTACTTTTGTGAAAATCTGTGATACATAAAGAGAGATTAACTAAATACCACGCTAGACATGTAAAGAAAAATACGCTTCTCACTTTAGTTTGTTTTGCGGTTAATTTAGTTTCAATACCAAGACACATTTGGTGAATAAACTCTGGCGCCACTACTCACATAAGTGTTTCTATGCGGTGTTGCATAAACAGCTAAAAGCCATTTGATGTTGAAAGATTCATCTGTGTGGGACGATGGAAAATCAATCAAAGTTGAGGCTATATGGACCTTAGGTTATCATTAAAGACTGTTTATTATTTAAATTTAAAAGTGACATTTGCGGCATCATCTTTTAGACGAAATTTGGTTTCTATTTCTATATTGGACAAATTCGGTTACTCTTGTTCAATTGCAAATAGTCAGTTTGATCTTTTTCGTAATTCAAATATTGTGGGTACCCGTTCTTTATCAGGTTATGATAACCTATATCTGCTTAATACAGTTACCTCTTATAAAGAAATATTGCATGTGAATTCACATTGTATTAAACATAAATTAACCAATGAGAATTTTGCTTCGTTATGACACAAGTGATTAGGTAACATCTCTCAAAAGAGAATGAAAAATTTTGTGTCAGAAGGAATTCTTGGTTCCCTTAATTTTTTCAGACTTAAGTGTTTATATTAATTACATTAAGGGAAAACAAATAAACATAAAGAGATTATGTGACAATAGGATTTCGAACGTCTTAGAACTAATTCATACGAATATTTGTGGATGATTCACTTCGACATCTTGGAATGGTCAACAATAATTTAATATGTTCGTAGACAAGTTTTTTCACTATGGTTATCCATATTTCATCTATGAGAAATCCCAAACACTAGAAATGTTCAAGGCATACAAGGTAAAGATTGAAAAACAACTCTGTAAAAGAATTTAACAAGTCAGATTTTACCATAGTGGTGAATACTATGACATATATGACGAATCAGGAGAACAACGTCAAGGGCCTTTTGCTAAATTCCTAGAGGAATGTGGAATCGTGCTACAGTACATCAGAATCTCTTTAGGTAGAAGCACTGCAGACTGCAGCTTAAATTTTTAACAAAGTTCCAAGTGAAGAAATTGTTAAGGGGTTACAAAATTTTTAAAAGATCCCACTATTAGGTCAATTTTCAAAACGGAAATATCTAATTCCTTGAGGATGGAGAGTTTGCGGGGGGAGATAAAGTTATAAGGTTAGGGATTTTATCTTGAAGGAAGAATATGTATATATTTTTTTTCTTTTGCAATTGACAATAATTGTACAAATTCTTGCTCTAGATCTTGTTCAAGAGCAATTTCGTATCAAGACAATATTATAAAATTCACTTTACACAATCAAGAGATTGTTGCAGAAAAACAAATTCAACAGCTTCAAAAACAAATTTCATTAAGGAAATCCATTATAAAAAGGAGAGAGACAATTCTGTATGACTTTATAGTCTTTTTCCCAGAAAATAAGGATAGCATGGATTGATGGAAGAAGAACTGTTCAATCAACTTTTACAAAGTCATGCAAGTGAATAATTTTCAAGAGTGGATTGATGTCATGCATAAAGAGATAAAGTCCATGAGTTATAATGACGTTTGGGAACTCAAACCATTGCCTGAAGGTACGAAACTCATTGGTTGTAATTGGATATTTAAAATCAAGATGGATTCGAAGGGTGATGTAGAGAGATATGAGACTCGTCTTGTTGCAAATAACTTTACTCAAAAGAAAGGTATTGACATTAAAGAAACTTTTTCTCCGGTTTCTATGAAAGACTCTTTTAGGACATTATGGCATTTGTGACACTTTGATCTAAAGTTACGTCAGATGTTTACAAATTCAAGAAATACATCTATGGGTTTAAACAGGTTTCTTGTCAATGGTATTACAAATTTCATCAAATAATTATCTTATTTGGTTTTAAGATGAATTCAGTTGATGATTGTGTATATCACAAGTCCAGTTGGAGTAAGCATATTTTTTGGTATTGTATGTCGATAACATACTGCTTGCCTGCAATGATATATGCTTATTGCACGAAACCAAGAAATTTCTGTCATGAAATTTTGAAATGAAATATTTTGGTGATACATCTTTTGTATTAAAGATATAGATACACAAGAATCGTTTTTTTTTTTTGTGTATTTTTGGATTTACA